TTGAAAAGGACAACCAGAGTGCTTGTGTGCCCACCTTTGACCTCCTCTTCTATACTTGTGAGGCTGGGCTATCACGGTGAACCCCTGCCGTGGGCCTGCTCTGTTACCAGAGCCAGGAATCTAGCACAAGGGTTTGGCGCAGCCTTCTCTACCTGGCCTGCCACTGCCCTGCCCTGCCTAGAGAGCTGGAAAGGCTTCCCTACTCTCCACACTGCTGTTGTTGTGAGGTGCCATCGAGCAGGCTCCGACCGATAAGAATGAAACACTGCACGGTCCTGTGCCACCCTCACAATTGTTCCCATGCCTGAGCCCATTGATGCAGCCACTGTCAATCCATCTTGTCAAGGGCCTGCCCCTTGTTCGCTGTCCCTCCACTGTACCAACATGATATCCTTCTCCAAGTAACGGTCTCTCCTGACATTATGTTCACAATATATAAAGACAAAGTCTTGCGTCTAAGGAGCCCTCTGGCCTTACTTCTTTCAATACAGATCTGTTTGTCCTTTCAGCAGGCTATGGTACTTTCAATATTCTTCTCCAGCACCACAATTTAAATGCATCTGTTCTACAGGTCTTCCTTTTTCAATGGCCAACTTTTACATGCAAACGAGGCAATGAAGAATATATCATGGCCTAGGTCAGGTGCACCTTAGTCCTCAAAGAAACAACCTCGCTCTTCAATTCTCTAAAGAGGTCTTGTGCAGCAGATTTACCTAATCTGTCTTTTGATCTCTTGACGGCTGCTTCTATGAGCATTGATTGTGAATTCAAGCAAGATGAAATCCTTGATGAGTTCAACCTTTTCTCCATTTATCCTGATGTCACCTATGGGTCCAGTTGTGAGGACTGTGGTCTTCCTTACATTGAATCCTTAATCACACCGCTAGTACAGCACAAAAGACTGCAGGAAAGCTTTCCTTTGGGACTCAGAGATGCTAGGCACAGAGCCTGACAGACTGATATTCTACTTGTTACACCTTTTTTATCTTCATCACCATCATCATAAAACCCCCTCATTATTGTTATTTTGTAACGCACTTTGATGTAGGCCTAAAGTCAGTGACTGGTCTAATCCCCGCTTCTATCAATTTTCCATAAGAAGCAAGTGGGGGCTAAAGAAGTTATACAAGTGGCCCAAAGCTACATATCACTAGGTGGTTGTTAGGAGAACGACCCCCGATTTCTCACTTCCTGATGCACTGCTACTTCTATTTGCCTTGCCTTTTGCTGCTTAAGAATCTGACACACACGAATACTATCAGAATATACATTTTCACTAAAATATCTTTCTGTCAGCTGACTTTTACCTTCCATTCTTTTCTACCATTCTTGCCTCTGTAGGCCTTCAACTCTTCATCTGCAAGTTGGGGATGAGAAGCACTTTTTGACCTCTTCTGGTCTTTCCAGGTTTCCAAGGTTTCCCTGGATTTCCAAGACACTGTGCTCTATTTCCACTGAAGAGAAGACTCTTGTATTGATATCCACTCCCTTCTCATCTCCATGGATAATGACCCCAGAGGCTCCGGCTACATCTCCTCCCTCCCTGGCTAGATTTTCCATTATATTTTGCCTCCCGGTAATAAATGACACAGATTAATAGCAAGAGAGACAGGATAAGAAAGAGGAAAAAAAAATAGAGAGAGAGGAGTGATAATGACGGTTTTTAAAAAAATTTCCTGGTTGACAAAATGAGGACCTGTTACTTTCAAAATGATACGCAGAATATTTAAATCAGGAAGATGATACTAACCAAATGAAATTCCATTACTGTATACCATTTAAATTCTTTGCCCCAAATTCCATTATAACCTGTACAAGATCTAAGTGAGCCCACCTATTAAGACAATCACAAGGACATCCAGTTTTAAAATATCAGCCACTGGAGCCTCTCATGTTTTTATTCCCTCATTCTTTTACTCTGTGTGCCTCACATTGGGGGGTAAAGAAGAAAGCGAGAGTTGCTAAGCATCTCTCTGCACTCAAATACCTTCTTAGCCTAGCAAGGGAGAACGACTAGGTCATCAGCAATTAGTTAAAATACAGGCTGCTACATGTAAGGCTTGACCATCTAATTGCACAGGATCATAATTACAGTGTTGTAAGTCCCTGGCAGGTGAAAATGGTTGAGTATTTTACTACTGGCCCAAAGGTTGGCAGTTATAGTCATGCATCTGTGAGTTTTCCTTGACCTCCTATGTCCCCTTTCAAGCTGTATGTCAGAAAACCCTTGGACACCATAAAGACCTCATGCCAATGATGTCCCTCATCTAGATAATATGCCTTTGCCTTGTCCTTGTCTGGTTTAGGACTTAATAACGGTTCTCTAAAGAAGGTGGCAGTTCAAACCCACACCAGTGCCTTGGAAGGCAGGTCTGGTGATCTGCTCCCTGCATACATGGGGTCACCATGGGTTGGATCAAGTCAACAGCAATGAAAAACAACAGAACCGTATCTTTCTTATACAAATAAATGAACTGAAGTTTCCCACACACTCTTTTTTTAATTCTCTCCAAATTTCATTTTCTTAGCAAGTGTTGGCTTGGTTCCTATCCTGCATCATCTGACCCAGGCACAGCACACTGAGAGGCAAAGGCAATTATGCCGTGTCAGCAGGAGCTGGCCTGATCAAATCAGATGTGCGGTGGCCAGAGTCACGAGGACCGGAAAGAGCTCTTCCTAGTTCCCCTTATTCCTGAAAATCACTGTTCTGACAACTGTGATCATAAAAGAGCTGAACTTTATTCTAGTTTTTATTATTGTCTGCTTTCCTTTGCATTGGGATGTTTCTGTGTTTTCTTTGAAAACTGTTGATGATGGTGGAGCATTGTATGTTTTTCTTTATATGAATCCAGGGTAGTGAATCTATAAAGATAGTAACTGGATTAATAGTTTCTTGGGGTTGTGGTGGGGGACATGCGGGGAGGTGGGGAGTTAATAATGAGTACAAAAAAGAAGAAAGCGTTCTAAAATTGATTGTGGTGATGATTACACAATTTTTTCATGTCTAACCACTGAAATATATGGTGTGGGAATTACATGCCAATAAAACTGAAAAATTAAGTTAAATTTTTTAAAAGAGCTTAAGGGAACAGATTATGCTAGTGAGAGAGGCTTAACAAAAAACACATGGACAAGTTCTTCCAGAACCACAACTTCTACGATATTTTGAAATGCAGAAGAGATAGCAATATTCTCTTCTGAATGCTTGAAACAAGGCTAGATTACATTTTCCTACTTTGCCAAGTCTTTGTGTTTCTTTCAGGTCCCACAAAATCAGATATAAAGAGTTCTACAACAGAGAAGTTCAAACAAAATTCCCGCATCAACCTACAGAATGCCAGCAGGGACCAGCCTGCACAGTCTTAGCATGGGGCCAAGGAGCTGATACTGTTTGATGCTCTGATGGCTCCACAGTTCTGAAACTCGCATGAAAATTTTCTGCAATATCCAAAGCAAAAGACAAGACACTGTTTCTACTGCGAGGGAAAATTGCAGCAGTTCGGAGTTCTTCTCCCTGTCTACACTGGCTTCAACTGGGCTGAGGGGGGAATGTTGGGGGGAAAGAGGGGCGATGCTGTTGTGGAGGGAAAGAATCTCAGTCAGGTCAGCGTAGCAGAATGTGTGTGGGCCCTGCCCCAGTCATTTCAAATCTGCTGCTCACTGAGGAGGACTCTGTCTTCTTCTTCCTCAGACCCGGGTGTATTCCAGTAGACAAAGCAGATTAACATATGCTAACAACCTGAGATTCATTTTAGTGCTTAGTTTTTAAAAGGTGGAAAACTAACCAAACCATGCCTTTAGGAAGGAGACCTATACTTTTGTTTTGTTTTATTTCTATAAGATACTTAAAAGAAATCTATCCAAAGTATAGCACAGATTTAGAGAAAAGAGCTGTGAGGAAAAGGGTCATGTCTTAAATTCTCCTAGAATGAACTGTGGTTAAAAAATGGAACATTGAATAAGTAAAAAAGAAACAACACTTTACCACCCCCACCATCCTACCCCTAACTTCCCCACCCCCAAAAAAAGCCAGCAGAAAGTTATAGGTGTTGGTGAGGATGTGGAGAAACTGGAACTACAGTACATATCTGATGGGAATGTAAAGTGGCACAGCCAAAAAAACAGATCTTGGGAGAAGCACAGGCAGAATGCTCCTTAGAAGACAGGATGTCAAGAAGTCGTCTCATTACTTTGAAGATGTTATCAGGAGAGGCCAGTCCTTGGAGAAGGACATCATGCTTGGTAAAGCAGAAGGGCAAGGAAAACAAGGCAGATCCTTGCTAAGGTGGATGGACACCGTGCCTGCAACAATGGACTCCAGTATAGGGACAATTATGGGGACAGTGCAGGACAGGGCGGTGGTCAGTTCTGCTGTATGAAGGATCACTCTCCTAGAACCAACTTGCTGGCACCTAAAACAACAACTAGCAGGCCAGTACTCCATATATTCCACAAAGAACTAGAAATAAGTACTCAAACAAATACAGGTACACACACAAAGGTGATGGCTTCAAAAAGTTCATGGCAAAATAGAATGAAAAGATTATGGAACTTTTTACACAAGATTTGAAGCCCCCTTGCATATATACACACACTCGTGTAAATATAATGGAATATTACTCATCGACAAAAACATACTACAACATACCTGATCCTAAAAACATTATGCCAAATGAAAGAAACTAGACTTACACGGGTCACATGTTGTGTGCATTTATGTGAATGATGTAGAGTAAGTAAAGCTCAAGAGCTAGGATGCTGATTGGTAACTGCGGAGGAAGGTATGACGAGTAACTGCTTAATAGGTACAGGGTTTCCTTTTGGGGCAATGAAAATGGTTATATAACATTGTGAATGAAGTAGATGGCACTAAATTGTTCACTTTAAAATGGTTAACGGTCTATTATGTAAATTTCACCTTGACAGAGAAATGTGTGTTTTCTCAGTGAATCTGGGTGTTTAAGTCCTACGACTAGGAAATGGGTGTCGCCTTTACTTACCTGGAAGGCAAGGTTGCGCTTGCTGAGGTATCAAGCTTGGCTCTGGAGGCACGGGTACCTCCTCAGAAACATACTTTAAAAGCTCTTTCCCAAGATAAGTTACCTGCACAGAATGAAAAATACACATAAATACACATTCTACAGGTGGAAAATACACCTATCTTCTGCATATTATAATTCTTTTAAAGTAATGACTATTGCTACTCACATATAATAGGCTGGCAAAAGACAGCTTGTAGCCACATTCTTTTGTAAATAAAGTTTTATTGGAAGACAGCAATGGGCATTTATTTACTTGGTGTTTGTGGCTTCTTCGGTACAACAACAAAATTGAGTCCTTACGGAAGAGACCATCTGCCTACAAAGCCTAAAATATTTACTATATGTCTCTTTACAGAAAAAAATTTGTTGACCCCTGTTGTATATTATTAATTTCTTTACCCATTCACTTATTCAACAATCATTAATCTAGTAAAGGTATTTAATATTTTAAAATGTTACATTAATAAAATTAAGCCATAAAGGTAATAGTAGTTTAAAAAATCAGATGTGTAACTGATTAAATTAATAACATTTCCGTTCTACACATCCAGGTTTTGATTTTGTCCTTTTGCTGCCCAAAGAATCAGAGTCTAGAAATATTTTCACATGAGTGGGCTAGGCTGAGGAGATGAACAATCACCTGCCAGAAATGTGCTGGTTCTAAGGACCTTTGGCTTCTGCATTCTTAATTCTAGGGTGACCTGATAATAGACGCCAGAAGCTCATTCCCTGTGGGAAAACTTTGGATTCAAAAGTATCAACTCAAACACCGGTCCCTCCATGATGTTGTTCTTAGAGGTCATCAAGATTCCAATTCACAGTGAGTAGAACCACATCTTCCTATGAACACCACACTCAAGTGTTGACTCTGCTCTATGCTCCCATAACGTCTGCACTCACACAGCATATATGGAGATATTGTAGGTCAGATCACCACAATATAATAAGGTGAGTCACAAGATTGTGTTGGCTTCCCAGTGCTTGTGAAAGTTATCTGTACACACTAAGGAGCCCTGGTGGTGCTTTCAGGTAAGAGTTGGACTGCTAACCTCAAGGTCGGTGGTTCGAGCCCACCAGGAGATCCATGGGGAGTAGATAAGACTATCTGCTCCCATAAAGATTTCAAGATTTCCAGCCCTAGAAATCCTACATAGGGTTGCTGTGCATTGTAACCAACTTGAGGAGAGTGGTCTTGTCTTCTATGAAGTGTGTAATCCCAACCAGACTCACTGCCACTGAGTCGATGCTGACTCATAGTGGCCACCTGTGGGTTTCCGAGACGGTAACTGTTCATGGGAGTACAAAGCCCCATGTGTAACAGCATTATGTAAAATTTTGAAATATTGTAATAATTACTCAAGTGTGACACAGAACCAAGAAATAAATACATGTTGTTGGGAAAAGAGTCTTGTTTATTTTAGGGCTGCTACACTTTATTTACACTTGGTCAGTGGAGTGTAGTAGAGCAAACTGCAGTAAAACGTGGTGTGCCTGCGTTTCTGTCACAGTCCATAGTTGTCACATTCCAATGAAGTTATGTGTTACTGTGTCTGTTCCAATTAAACTACTATCAGCTTCTTGAAGGTAGAGTCTGTGTCATATTACTTTTTAATGCTATGAGCACTTTATAAGAAGCCCTGGGAGCATAGTGGGTCACATGTTGGACAGTTAACTGCAAAGTCAGCAATTTAAAACCAACAGTAGCTTCATGGGAGAAAGATGAGGCTTTCTGCTTCTATAAAGATTTCTATCTCAGTGGCACAGGAGTAAAGTAAAAGGAAATAGAGGAAAGAACTAGAAGGCAACATACATTTATAGAGGTATAAATACAGGCATGTACATATGTAAATATATTTATATATAATGATAGGGACATAGTTCTTTGACCATATATCATATGTTAAATAATAAGTTAGCAGACGGACATTGGGCCTCTACTCAAGTTTTCCCTCAATGCAAGAACACTTTGTTCTAATAACCTGGCATTCTGTGATGCTCACCTTCCTGGCACAATCACTGAAGATAAAATGGGTGCATAAGTAAATGTGGTGAAGAAAGCATATGGTGCTCAGCTATCAAAAGATACAGCATCTCCAGTTTTAAAGACTTGGAGATAAACAAGCAGCCATCTACTGGAAAGCAGCAAGGCCCACATGGAAGAAGCACATCAGCCTGTGTGATCATGATGTGTTGATGGGATCAGGTATCAGGCATCGGAAGACCCAGAACAAAAAAAACATATCAACGCAAATGGTAGGGACTGTGGAGTAGAGTTCCAAAGCCCATCTGCAGACTTTTGGACATCCCCTCACAGAAGGGTCACAAAGAAGAGAGGAGCCAGCCAGGGTACAGCATAGCACTGATGAAACATACAACATTCCTCTAGTTCTTTAATGCTTCCTCCCCACTACTATCATGACCCCAATTCTACCTTACAAATCCGGCTAGGCCAGAGCATGTACACTGGTACAGATAAGAGCTCTCAACACAGGGAATCCAGGACAGATAAATCCCTAAGGAACAATGATGGGAGTAGCGATAAACCCCTAAGGAACAATAATGGGAGTAGTGAGACCATGAGGGTAGGTGGAAGGTATGGGGAGAAAGAGGGAACCAATCACAATGATCTAAGTATAACTGCACCCCCCCAGCCCGCAAGGAGGACGAACAACAAAAACACGGGTGAAGGGAGACAGTGGTTGGTGTAAGATATAAAAATAATAATAATTTATAACTTATCAAGGGTTCATGAGGGAGGGAGGGGAGGGGAGAAGATGGGAGGGGGGAAAATGAGGAGATGATATCAAGGGCTCAAGTAGAAAGAAAATGTTTTGAAAATGATGATGGCAACATATGTTCAAACGTGCTTGACATAATGGCTGTATGTATTGTTATAAAAGTTGTAAGAGCCCCCAATAAAATGATTTAAAAAAGAGATTTCTATCTTTAGACACCCACAGGAGCAGTTCTACCCTGCCCTACGGGGCCACTATGAGTCAAAACTGACTGGATTGCTGTGAGTTTTTTTGGCAGGGGAAGTATTTCACATCATCCTGGCAATACTGGTTACCAGACTCTGGAAGTTCTAGCTTTTAAGCAAAATTCTCTTGAGCCTCAATTTATACATTTATAAACAAAAGACCCTTCATTTTATTAAGTTGTCAAAGGAGTAAAAGAATTCATGAAAAGCACTTGTATACATCCTAGTACATCTGAGTAATCAATAAATGTTTTCAAAATTAAACAGAACAAGGAAGATATTTGAGATCTGTGAAGTATAGGCTCCTGTTGGGCTCAATTTCATAACCAAACAAAGCCTGGTCATGGGAATCTGCACCACTCGGTGTGTGAACTCTTCCTCTTCTGCTTTTGAGGCTCTTTTATTATTTGATGGCTACCAGGGTGGGGGTGTGAAAGGCGGGAGTAAACAGGGGGCAGACAGGTATTAACTTGGGCACAAGGTAAAGAAAGCAGTAAGAGGGTGTATTAGTCTAGGTACTTTGGAGAAACAAATCCACAGCAACTCACGTATAAGAGAGTTTTATGCAAAGAAAATGTGCATCACGAAAACATCCCAACCCAATGCTGCCCAAGCGCCCAAGTCCACCATTCCCCCATTAACCCAACACCAGTCCACAAAGTCCTTCACCTCACAAAACAGAGGCAATAATGCCGACTGCAGGAGGAAAGCTGAGTCAGTGAACATGTAAGCATCTCAGCACTGGCAGGGCAGGCAGGGGTCTCCACATGGCTGCTCCAGCACCCAGGGCTGCATCGGGATAGATCCATGCAGCTTCTCCTTGGGGATGTCTTGTAGGAAATCCATCTTGCAAGCTGAAGCAGGGAACTGCTAAGGCAGCTGCACCCGATGCAACCATCACAAAACAAGAGACCCAAGAACTCGAAAGGCGAGGCTTCACCACCCATTTATCCCTCCGCCTTTCAACCAGCACCACATGTGATTATCGGCCAGGCTGGCACAATTAACTAACTCAGAGGGAGATCAGCAAAAATTGATGATGGCAAAGGAAGGAAAGAAATATGAGGTATACACAAGTTCAAGACAACATTATACACACAATCTTGTAATGATAATTGTCTGTGAGTGGATACACAAGCTGAACCAAGTTGGGAAAGAGAACGGTGCTGTACTCATGAATGAACAAACAAAGATGTGACAGAAAACATTTTACATATGTATTTACGTATGATGCAAGTATATCCATGAACACAGTAGAGCACACAAGAGGCAAAGATATGAAAACTTCTGAGCCAGAAGCAAACAGCTTGAGGGAATGAGTTACTGGGCCTGTGGGCTGAGACTCAAAGCCTTAAGGAAAATTAACTGTCATAACTTAGTCCACAAAGACAGTGTTCTACATTCTACTTTGGTGAATAGTAATTGGAGTCTTAAAGCTTGTGAGAGGTACATCTATTGATCTTTACCCCTCCAGAGCAAAGAAATTCAAATATGCATGGAAACAACTATTCCAATGGACTAATGGACTACCTCAGTTGCCAGGACCAGAAGAAGTACTTGGCTCCTGGCTACCACTGCAACCTCTCTAAATTAGGTAACATTAGAATATCCTGGATAGAAAGGGAGAAAAATGTGGAACAGAACTTAAAATTATAAAAATGACCAGGTTTACCGGACTAGTAGCTTAGAGACTAGAAGAAGTCTCAAGACCATGAGACTTGTCACTCCTCAAATGTGGAATGGATCTCACCTATGGCTAAATTTTCAGGCCAATAATAGAAAGGTTTATAAGGTGATACTGGAAGTTATGTCACCGGCATTTCCAATGCCAGCGGGGTCACCCAGAGTGAACCAGGTTCAGCAGAAGAATTCGTTCTATTTGCATAGGGGTCGCTATGGGTTGGAACCAAGGTTAGAGCACCTAACTTAACTATAACACTGCAGAGGAACGTAGGGAGGAATGGAAAACACGAAGAGGTGGGATAAGTGATGTTACATTGTAGGGTTTGTAACTGACGTATAAAACAAGATGTGCATGATTTATTGAATGGACAACTAATTTGCTCTGTGAACCTTCACCC